TATTTATTTATTTATTTATATGTATAAATAAATATTTATATAAATGTGTATGTATAAGTCAAAATTTCTGATTTGTAAAATGTAAAAGTTGTTTTGTTATTTTTGAAATAGGGTAAAGATAAAGTAGGGAAAGTGAATTTTTCCCAAAATTGAATTCACCTGGCCAGGCAGCTCCTTCTTCTTCCCCGGCGGACGGCGACAGCCCAGCGAGAACTTGCAGCTTTCGGCGGACCCAGCACGGGCGGCCGCGGGGGCTGTCCGGGTGCTGGATCCGCCCCTGCTCCTGGGGGTAGAGATCAACCATTAACATTCAACTATTAATATCCACCAAATAAGAGAGAGTTCAGCCTGATTCAGAAGTTATCTTTGCAATTGATTTTCTTAGTTGGGTTAGTTTTCCTGTTGTTAAGATTAATTAGACTCCTTTGATTTGCTAAAACCTGACTCAATTCTTCTGGTGTCAAGTTCTTTTTCCAAACTCGTCGAATTCTAGTCCCATTCAAGAGTATTGCTTCTAGTCTCAAGTATATTTGCTGGACATTTAAATTTTTAGAGGAGCCCTATATGATTCATTCTTTTCTTTTCGTATACTTCTCTCTCTTGCTAGTTGTTTTCCTTTTCTCGTAAACCAACTTTCAGTTTCGACGCTTTGACCTGTAGGTACTCATCATGGACAAGGTTACTCTTAAAATAATATCTAATGCATGCAAGATGTCAGATATCAATGACGAAGGAGTTTCACGTAAGATACAAAAAATCAGTCTAAGAAACATATATGTATCTTTCTCTTTCCCACTCCCACCCTTTTTTTGCATGGCACTGTGCTGACCCACTGCAACTGTGATGCATTTTACCATGTTTCTTACGATTGTGTAGCTTGTAAATGATTTGCAACAAATTGCTAACAATTTTCAAGTGGTGTGTGGTATTCTGAGCGTTACTTCATCTTGTTCCAAATTTTGGTGCTACCATAGGAATGCTTCTGGTAGCAAAACAAAAAAAAAAAAAAAATCTTCAGATAAATGAGTTTTTTTTTTTTAAATAAGAACTGCAACCATTATTCACGGAAGCATTATTGAAATATTTTTGAATATCTAAACTTTGGAAGAAGTGTTCACGTAGGTTTAAATGGCATGACCTAACACAGTTTCTATGAGTTAACCATTCAATGATTTCCTGGGGTGCACGTGGTTTGCCCTATCTGCTAGTTTTCTTTAACAATATTGGCTGCCTAGTTGCCAGCAGAAGTGACTTTCTTAGTGCCTTCTTCATCAGTATCTCTTACATTTTGCATTTTTCCGGAGTTATCCATCCCCAATATTTTTTTGTGAACTTTTACAGAAAACTTGTCCTAGCATTAAGAACACAGCCTTGCAGGTAGCCTTTCTACGTGTCTAAACTATATACCTTTTTTGAATGTGTTATGTAGTTTTCAGTACTGCAGAGTGCAGACTGCTTCCATTGTATGCTCAGTGAAAGATTTCTGTTTCAGTTGTTTGTCCACAAAGGTCATCCTTTGAAGGAAATCCCTTTACTAATTGGAAGGCCTGAACTGGTATTGATTGACCCATGCGAATTATGCAAATGAGGAATTTATCTACACCTGATCATAATGGGTTGTGTTGTGAACCAACTTAATGTGCCTTTTTTGAATGTTAATTTTGAGACCGAGAAGCTATCATTTCATTTGTTGCCTGCAGTGGTGGAAGACATATACAAGCGAAGGCAGCCACTGCCAACCATGGATGCTGTATACTTCATCCAGCCAACTAAAGAGAAGTATTCTCTTTTCTAACTTCTTGTTCAACATCCTTATGCTGTTAATACCTTTGGATTTGGTTTGAAAAGATCGAGATGAATAACTACCATAATTTTGCAGCAGCCGTAGCATGTTATTAGCATTGAAATCTCCCTGTGGATAATTATCTAAAAGCAAGTCCAATTGGATGCAAGCAAATAAGTTTTTAGCAAAGTTTTGTGTGTCATATTTGAATTTAATTTACATCTTGTCTTTCCTCCTCCATATTGTTTACTTCTAGGTGGTTCTTGATCATCTCCGATATTCTATTATGTGTTTCTCAACGCTCATTACTCCTGTCAGAATCACACTCTGCCTACATGTCAAAACCTTACCTCATTTGAGAAAGTTAAACTGTTTTAATCTTACTTTTCCATTACCCCCACAGATAAGACGACTGGATTGAAGCAATCAATATTTTTATCATGTGTTTAAAATTTGAATTCAGGATAAGGGCAAGTATAATTCAAATATCAATGTTATAAGACAATGCATAACGCGTTGTTTCTTTTAAATCAAGCTAAAATTATGGGTTGGAGGGTCTAATTCTTAATTTCTTACTACCATGTCCTGCGAGTAGATATTCTAATATCCCTGTGTTGCTTGTGAGACACAGTGACATAATTCTATGCAATATGCTAGCCAAGGAATTTGCTATGGGAATAGTTGACAGCATTCTCATTTTGTACTTTCTCGTTCCTTCCATGGTAAATTAGTAATTTTTTGTTTTTCTTTATAAACAAGGAGAAAATAATTTTCAGTTGGAGGGGAGAAGATTTGCAATTATTTTCCCAATGGATGAAATATTTCTAACGAGGCTAGGATTCTTTGAAGGATGGAGATTATATAGTCCTTTAACAGTACGCTTTTCGGATATTGCTCTTTGTATTTGGATGGATCAGAAATACTAGCCTGCGAGATCTTTCCATGGAGCAGCTTAGATTTTTTTCACGCAAGATGGGATGGGATCTTCTCTGTTTTTGTGATCAATTTTTCCAGAGCTTATTTTATTAGAGACATCTTAAACCTCTTTCTCCCTAGAAAGATATGCACGTGTGTGAGAACACTTCAATTTTGAAAGATGACTTGAGTTACTTTATTTTGGCAGATGCATTATGTTAAATTTAATTAAGCACAGCAAATTTTCTTGTTTCTTCCATCCTCTCTCTCTCTCTTCACTCATCCATCCATTTTTTTATTTTGTATGCAGTGTTGTCATGCTCCTCTCCGATATGTCTGGAAAATTGCCATTGTACTGAAAGTACGCTAAATGTTTATTATCTTTCCTATTTGTCTTGTTTGTTTTGCAAATTTTTGAAATCAACAGGGAAATAATTTTGGGTCTGATTTAATTGTTTCTACTCTCTTTCTCTTTCCCCTTATTTGTTCTGTTATTAGGGCATTTGTCTTCTTTAGTTCACCTGTTACCCAAGAATTGGTTAATCGCATAAAGAGGGACAGAGGTGTCATGTCTCGCATTGGTGCCTTAAGAGAGGTTATATTTACATCCAAAATCTCCTCTGATATTCTAGCTTTATTTAGTTGTGCTAGATTTGTTTTGTTCTCATTTTGGTTCTCAAATCTGCAGATGAACTTGGAGTATTTTCCCATAGATAGTCAGGTACATTATCCCGAGTCTATTCTACATTTGGATTTCTGCTATTGTTTAGATATTCCTTCTTCATGATAAAAGGAAGAGACAAAAACAACTTGGAGTTCTTAATCTTTTTGTTTTTTATGAAGATGCTCGCTCTTTTTGCCAATGATTAGAAATGTGTTTGATATTAGTAAAATAATGCAACACCTAATCACAGACCGTAGAGAGGTTTTCTCCGATACTCATGAAAAAGACTACCTACGAATTGCTTCCACATTGAGTAATGCTTTTTTGCTTCTCGGGAGCTGAGAAAGGGAGAGGGGAAGTGTGTTGCTCAACAAGGTTGTTAAAATTACCAGGATTGTACCATTCAATAACTGGGTTCTACAATCCCAAAATGATAAAACAATGCAGACTGCTTTGAAAATCACAAACTTGTAGGATCGTAATGGATCTTAAAAGAATTGCAAATTTTATGAAGTATAATATTAAATTGTTTTGCATATATACCTCACACAGGTGATGAGATTTTTGAAAATTTATGAAGATGGCTTATAATGATAATTTTGAGAAAGGCTGATGGTTTTTCGATAAACGAATATGAAAACAATGATAAAGACTTTCTTTTTGATGATTGACATGTTTGAAAATTTATTGGTTTAATTTGGCATCATGTCTGAGTTTATTATTTTACATATTATGTACCTTTATAAAGTAGTTTCAACCTTGGTTTATTGTTTTATTTTAGTTAGTTATAGTTATAGTTGCAACTTGTAAGTTTATTGTTAAGAATATTCGATGTTTTTCTACTTCAATATTTTAATTATTAGTATTTTTGTAGAACCTTGCGATCCTTGATCCGATTAAATGAATCAATCCGCAAGACCCCTTCACCGATCCAAGTCAAAATAACGATCCTGATTGACAACCTTGTTGCTAAACTTTACCGATACTTATTTCATATGTGACTACAATTACATTTTCCCTTGCACAGATCCTCATCACCTGTGACATTTTTTGCTTCTCTATTCTGGCTACTCATTTGAATCTCATTCTCTTGCATGGTTCCAAATTAGCTGAAATTTTCAACAAGATTGTTGTTACATGTAATGGCACAATAAATATAACCGTAGGGTTTTATCACTGATAATGAGAAAGCTCTTGAGGAACTCTTTGGGGAGGAAGAAAGTTCTCGCAATGGCGATGCATGTTTGAGTTTGATGGCCACCCGCATAGCTACAGTCTTTGCATCATTGCGGGTATGGAGTTAAGTGCTTATCTATTAATCCATAGTACGTACATATTCGCGATAGTCTCAAGGCTTGCATTATATTGTCCTCTGACAGGAGTTTCCATTAGTGCGCTACCGTGCAACCAAATCCCTTGATCCTAACACAATAACAAGATTTCATGATCTAATTCCTACAAAACTTGCTGCTGGTGTTTGGAACTGTCTCATGAAATACAAAAACCTCCCAAACTTCCCTCAGTCGGAGACATGCGAGTTGCTCATCCTGGATAGATCAATAGACCAGGTTCTTAGAGCATGTTTGTCCAGGATTAAAATCCATTTTTAATTAAAAATATGGCTGTTATTGGGTCCCACTGGTCTAATAAAAGTCAACAATAACGGTTAGTTTTTCAATTTTAATCTGTACCGGGTACACGCCCTTATTGTCATATTTTTTTATTAACATAGAGTCATGAAATCCAATTTTGTAGTCATCGTGCTTAACATATATATTTTCATATGCAGATTGCTCCGATCATACATGAATGGACATATGATGCCAGGTGCCATGATTTACTTAATATGGTAGGAAATAAATATGTGCATGAGGTAAGACCTCAAGTTTTTATGTTCCATAGTTGCATTGTTATCCATATATTTCTCAGCCTATTTATGTCAGGTAATGATACTGCACAGGTTCCAAATAGAACAGGTGGTCTTCCTGAGAAGAAAGAGGTCCTTTTGGAGGATCATGACCCAATTTGGCTAGAGCTTCGCCATTCACATATAGCTGATGTATGTAGAAGACACAAAATTCTTTGTTATCCCCCTTTTAGGTCTTCAAAAGTTACGAAGTTTCTTTGGTCAATGTTTGCTTTGTCAGGCTAGTGAACGTTTGCATGAGAAGATGACTAACTTCGTATCAAAAAACAAAGCTGCATAAAATCCACGGTTCAAGGTTGGCTCAAGTTATGCATCGTGAACGATCTTTGCTTATAACTGTCAGCTGAAATTCAGTTCTTGGAATCTGTATTGGACCCCTACTTTGGATGTGAGATTTATGCATCTCTTCATGTTATGAGATGGGCATATTATGATTTCTAACTTTTTCTATTGCGTGAAAGAAATTTAGACATCATATTTGATGGGAGATGTCCATCATACATCCCAGAGCTTCCGAAGAGATGATGTTTTTTCTTTGGCCCAATGTGAAGGATTTGCTTTTGTTTATTTGCTAAATTATATGGATTTCTGGAAAGGTTTTTTACATTCATTTCAATTTAACTAGTTTTGCATTTAATGACTTCCATTAATTGAATTTCCCAAGCATGTATATTGATTATATGTTTTTTTTAAATCACCACACATTTTCTTTTATTAATTGTCTATTGAGTTACAGATTCTGGTTGCTAGCTTCAGAATTTTATTCTGTATATTGGCTTATTTTTTGCTTCTGTTTTTTACTAGTGCTTGTTGGCCACTGTCGGTCTTTCTCATTGGGCATTAATTTTTGTGCAGAGATGCTAGCAATTTATCTACTCGGGACTTGCAAAAGATGGTTCAAGCTTTGCCTCAATATAGTGAACAAATTGAAAAACTCTTCCTCCATGTTGATGGGAGTATCTTTTATTTCTAACTGCAATTGCGATAGTTGTTTATGATGGCAGTAACTAGAGCATCTTATTCTCAAGCCTTGCTGATCCTGGTGTGGAAGCGTTAAGGAATTTTTGTAATAAGAATTATGTAATAAACAAGAATGATTTTTAAACAATCGTGTCTTGTATATATTGAATAATAATTGATTGTTGTTGAAAAGGTGTATAATGCATTTGTATTGATAGGCAAAACTATTCTCCAATCCTATTAATATATAGGCCTTGTTTGGTACGGATTAAAATCAGATTTTAATCTAAATCAAAGTCAAACAATCTATATTATTATTAACCACATTGTTCATGGGTCCCACAACTTTTCAACCACGCATTTTAAAAACTTCTATCACAATCTACTAAAAATCTAATTTTAATCCCCACCAAACACCCACATAAGTAAATTAAATTCTAAAAAGAAATAAACTAAAATCCTGTTCTAAAAGAAATTAGAAATTTTATTCTAATCAATAAAGAAAAGAAATCATATTCTAAATAAAATATTAGAATAAAAGATAAAATTTATTACAGATAGACATATTATTATAAATATTTAATTCTAATCCTACTTACAATAGGATTGTCCTACATCAATCTCTCCCATTTGAAAAAAACTCGTCGTCGAGTTTTGTTGGAAAAAAAAAAATCCTTGATAACTTTTGTGTATTCAAACTTAGCTGGGATTTGAGGAAACTCTCTAGCCACCTGTTGCCATGTTTTAATCGTGTTGAAGCAACCAACATTCATAGCAGTTAAAGTTTGCAAATTTTTGTTAGCTTGCTTTTCTGTGGGCTCTCGATTCCTTTCAAGACTCAACGCAATCAGCTTCTACGTGATGTTGTGAAGGGTTTCATTGATGCCTTCGATTTGTTGTTCGAGTTTGTCAAGCCTCCGTTTGTCGTCGGCTATTCGATTGCTACTAGAACCATCATTTACCATCAGATTAAGTCAATTTTCTTGCCCTGATACTAATTTTGGTGCAAAAGCATTAATGAATTCTTGTAGTAAGAATCATGTAATAAATAAGAATGATATTTGAACGATTATGTTTTGTATATATTGAATAATAATTGATTGTTGTTGAAAAAGCGTACATGCCTTTGTATTTGTAAGCAAAACTATTATGTAATCCTATTAATATAAGGAAACTAAATTCTAAAAGGAAATAAACTAAAATTCTAATATAAAATAAATTAGAAATCCTATTTTAATCAATAAAGAAAAATAAATCTTATTCTAAACAAAATATTAGAATGAAAGATAAAACTTATTACAACTAGACATCTTATTATAAATATCTAATCTTAATCCTATTGAGAATAAAAATGTCCTACATCAAATCCCATGTTGGAAAAAATACCTGCTGGTGGACGTTAAGTATCTAGAGAACTTAGTAGGCAAGGTTTCCTTCGGTTGCTATGATATGCAATTTAATGTTAAAAAATGAACAAAAAATCACGTGGTAGTTTTTTATTTGAAAAGGGGTCTGAATTTTGTATCTTATTATCTTTGTGCTTCTTACAGTCCTTGCTAAGTAAAACTGATCACTGAAAAAGTTCGAATTTTAGTAAGTGAAGTTCGATTCAGATAATAATATGCATGGAAATGTATAATTATCATGATTTCTTACTATTTTGGCATATACTCATATGCAATGTAGCCATCAACATTAAGCCCCTGTCTGTCAGCAATTAATTTCAGCTTAAAATTGCTTTTATTACCGTTGAAGCCCAGCAACGATCACATTTCCAAGATTGCAGCTGAAGGTTTGTGAGAAACGGTAACAAAAAAAGGGTCCAATAATCAATTGTGTCTGGCTGAAAATCCCAACCAGACAGCTCCATCCCATATAGATAGGTTTGTTTTCATTTTTCATATGTCCCAAATTATAAGCTTATTTTCCTTGTTGGGAGTATAATTGATTTATTAATTTTCTAATATGCTTCTATTTAATGTGCCTAATCATCAACCACCTTATACATCGTCGCAACTCACACGTCAGGATGAGCTTTGACAATATGACACGAGAATTAGAAAGGGATTCGTATTATAGCCAGGAACTCCTGCTATGGAATACTCCCATTTACATTATTATTTGTTGTAGGGGTATATTAAGAAAAATATAAAAACTGTTTATATTTTCAGTTATATTAATTATATTTTCTTAACGGTGTGGAAATGGAAACAAGCTTCTCTCTGTGGGATGAAGTGAGTAATGTATTTTTAAAATTCTGGGCAGCCCTAAATGTTTGTTATAACACACTTGCAGAAACTATTTCAATGGTGTAGTTTAAAATTCTAAAATATTTCTTTTATTATTTAATAATACTTCTATTTTATGATAAAATTTGTCATTGATGATGTCATTATCCAGTAATATATAAGTGGACCTTAAAGTGAACATTTTTTTTTCTACTTATTAATTTACTAAACATGCTTAATACATCATTGTGTTTATACCTTTTTGTCTATGGTGGTTGTGTATATATATATTTTTTCCTCTTTTTTTTTAATATATATTTGTATCTTCACATGTAAAACACGGTAGAGAATGAGCCAGCTCATTGAGAAATTGGGGACAAAATTCCCCAATCTTCAAAATGTCTTTTGTGGTAAGCAACCTAATGAATTTGGAATTTTATACCCACCAAATCCAATTTTTAAATTTGAGTTCCCCTTTTCAGAAAGGCAAATTTCCCCCTTCCACCATGATTATGCTAGATTTGAAGGTATAAGTAAGTACGTTAGGTTCAATAAGCAGTATATCAACAATAATGAATAAAGATATATGTTTTTTAGTTATCACTTACAGTCCAATCTTAATGTAAGGATGATATGTGTTCGTATTTGTTTGACGCATGATCATGTTCAATGGTTTCCTCTATAGTATACCAATAAGTGAGGTGGTATGTTGTATAGGATGAGATTTAGGAATTGTGCGATTGAATTTCACGATTATCTCGTCCACTACTGCACATCAAAAGTTATTTACAATGCTAATGTATTCATTTCCATTGTGTTTTACACATATGTATGTATATGTGTATATGTACACATATTTATTTACTATATATAATATTAATGGGTATTGGAATTTGATTTAAACAAGAAAAAGGTGGAGAGGAGAGAGAAAAAAAAAAGATTGAGTAAATCTCAATTTGTCAACCTCTCTCTTTAAACAAATCGTAGACCTCTAGACTTATAAAAATAGAATTATATTTTAATGTTTAATCATCCAATATAAAAGGACCAATTAGCTCAAGCCCTTTAATTAGTAGGACTTTAATAATAGGATTAATAATATTAATTCTAGGCCCCATAAGACGTAGTTAGTGAAAGAATATCGCCAATGGTTTTGTTAGTTGTTATTGAAAGCTAAGTAGTAACCAAACTAAGTAGGGAAGTGGGACCCACATTTTGCCATGTCTAGGAATTCCAGCTATGTCCAATGCCTCACGTGATATTAGGTACTCCAAGCACGTGCAATATCGGTCTACGTTTTTGCATCTTGACTCGTTCGAATCGTAGTATTTCTCGTAGTTGAAAGAACGAAGAATTTTTAAAACTTTAGAAATATGTCCATGAGAGCACGAGATTCTGGACTCGGCCTCAATTCATTGACTTGAATTGCATTGAGCCCTTGCTTGCACCACATTCTTATTTTCATTTTCATTCTTTTACTCATTTTCAATCATGCATTTTTCAATAAAATATTATTTTTCATTATATCAATGATTTTTAGATCTTGTTTGGTACAGCTCAAAATTGAATTAAAATTGAAAATATAGCCGTTATTGGATCTCACTCGTCTAATAAAAGCTAACAATAACGGCTAATTTTTCAATTTTAATTTCTACCGAACATACACTTACTTCTTTTTCAACCATATATTTCTCATCACATAAAAAAATGCATTCTCTCCTAAAAAATGTACATCAAACACACTCTGAATCTAAAGAGTTGCGTAGAATTAGATATTAAAATAGTACATTTTCAGTTGAGGAATAACAAAATTAAATCGTGAACTTTGTAGGCAAAATCTAAATTCTCTTTGGAAATTTCTTTCACCACCTTTTAATGTTAAATTTTTCAGCAAGTGTTGCATTAGTAATTATTACTCTGAAGGTACGTTGAATTTTCTAATACTCATCAAACTGAGTCATGGTTTGAATGAAACATTTTATAAAATTTAGTGATGAGTTTGAAATAAATTTAATTCCAATGGCCAAAGTAATACTAAGTGTAAAGTTCAATGGTCATTAGTGAAATTTACCCTTACTCTTAGTGTAGGTTTATTTGTACATCGTGCTACGTTAAATAAAAGGTAATCAATAATTTGGCATTTTCAATCTTCTCACGTTTATAAAGTGTTTATAAACTATTTAAATTATAAATAGATAAAAATGAGTGATGGATAAGTATGTATTATTTGTAGATTGTTCAAAATATGTACATAAAAAGTAGGCGGGGNTTAATAGGGATGACAACGAGGTGGTGCGGGGCGGGGCGGCCCTCCCCACCCCCGCTAAGAAATTTTCCACCCCGTCCCCTCCCCGTTACCTATTTAAGGTGTGGCGGGCCTTTCCCTGTTTACTCCCCGTTTATTTATTTATTTATTTATTTAGTTTTTGATAATTTATTTTTATTGCCCATATTCATTAAAGTTAGATAAATAATTTTAGTTGCTATTTTCTATTAGAATTAATGAAAATCTTCATTTAAAGTATGGAATTCTAAAAAAAATAAAAAAAAATTTAACGAGGTGTGGCCCCCGTTACCGCCCCGGGGCAAAATTCCCACCCCGTTCTTGCCCCATTACCCGTTTAAGCAGGTTTTCTCAGCCCCGTTCTGGGTGGGGCCCCTCGGGTATCGAGTTTGACGGATTTTTTTGCCATCCCTAATAAAAAGTAACTTGAGTTCGTTTCATGGGCGATCAGATGCGATTGAGAAAAAAATGTGCATTCAATAAGTCAAGACTTTATTGAATTACTCATTACATACACTTGAATCAAAATTCTACCGAGAGAAGGAAAATTTACAAAATACATCCTATATAGAGAGTGTAATTACACTTTACATACCGTATTTATATATCTATATTTTACATACTATAGTTTGCAAAATGGTTAAAACAACACCCTTTGTTGAAAAAATTTCAAGAAAATCCATTACAAATAGCAAAACAAACAAAAATCTAAAATAACAAATCATACCATATATATCATATTATATAACGTTTTGCATACTTTCTACTTATTGATTTTTCATTCAAAATTTTCTTCAGTGGATGTTTATATACAATTTACAAAATTTATTTATCATCTTTTCCTATGCTCTAACATAAAATCATTGAAATATTGATTTTTAATAAGTTAGCAAATTATTAAAAAATTTAGAAAATACTCTTTGGACTTTGTTAACATTGTAAAAACAAATAAAATTCTTAATTATTATAGTCTAATTAATAAATTTTGTTCATACAAATGAAAATAATTTTGATGTTAGACGTTATTATGGAGCTAAAAATCGTTTTTCTTATTCATTTTAAATTGGGGTAATTTTGAAGCTTAAAAAAATTGTTAAGAATGCATACGTAATTTTATTGGTATCTATTACAGATATATTTTTCTTCTTTGTGAGAAAGTATCATAGAAAAGAATAATCTATAAATATAACTAATAAAAATAACGTGTAAAAACTAAAAAGTGAAAATAAAAAAAATTATATATATGATTTGATGAGAAGACTCCACCGACTATTAATATATTAAGAGATAAATAAATAAGAAAAAAAATATTTTTTAGATAAAATTGAAATAATATTTGAATTTTTGGTCTAAATGCAATATAAAGGGAGTAATTTGTTATTTTCAATAATATATATTTTGGTCTGTTTATCTATTTTTGATGGGTTTTTTTTTAGTAAAAGTCCTTTTTTGTCACTTCATCGTAAAATGTCGTATGTAAAATCTAAATTTAAAAAATATAATGTGAAAAATAGAAATAATTTGCAAATGTACCTCTAGCTTGCTGGCATCATCCCACGTGGATTAATTATGACATCATGTGAGGGAAACATTGGCAAAGCACGTGATATGGATATCTGTCGGGCCCCATTATTAATCATATAGATGCAGACACCCCATTGGACAGCAATATCATTGACCCAGTCGATGTAAGGGACTGTTTGGCCATCTTTATCTTTTGAGAAGTTAAAATCTAAAGCGAAACCGCTATAAGAATTACTTAAGAGACGTAAAATGAGAGATGGGTCGTCCAAAAAAACAAGACATTTAATGATATTGTGAGTTGTCTTGCCTATAACGAGAGGATGTGCTAAGCATGGACAATCGAATCCATGACAGACTGTGTTGATTTTCTCAATCCGAACATTCAAAAATTCAATCTAACCAACTTCAAGTGACTCTATTTCACTTTTAGATCAAAATTTGACATTCGCATCTCATGTTGAACGTCACGTATAACTAAATGAACAAATTTCGAACAAAATGTAAAATAGAAAAAATCCATCTGAGTCGAACATAAAATATGAAATACTATCTCAATTTTTATTACCTTCGAAATTATTTTAACCTTTTTAATGATTAATAAACTTATGTTATCTGATGTGTCAAAATTATTGCCAAGTAAGTGTAATATCATTAATTCAAAATACATCACAAACATTATACATACAATTATTATAGGTTATGGACCACATTGTACGACTGTCGGACCCACCATTCATGTTTCCGTCCTAAGTTTCAAACATGTTTTACTTTCCATTTTTTTTAAAAAATAAAAATATATTTGATTAAGAATATATTCTTTTAGTTTTCTTTTGATCACTACGCCGTGAAACTTATATAATATAAAGATGCATACACGTACACACATTAGTTACATTAATCGATATAGTACTTATCCACACAATGAACCATCTTCAAAGAACGCTAGTTGATTCGAGAGGCAAATCGTACCATACCTAATTCGTCAAGCTACGAGGACCCTTTTACGTGGCAGTAACTAATAAATTTTGATCGATCCATTGGCCTGGTCTAGCCCATCAGAGTGCAACCTTATCCATTATACAACATATTAATCAGCAGTTGGTATTTGGTAAGCAGTCAATTATGCCTTTTCTAGTATTTGAAAAATTATGTTATAACTAAAATCCTCTCCTGCCGACAAGAATGTTTGTCCCCACTAAACCAAAGTAAATTACAAGAGATGAAAGCAAAAAAAAGGTAGGTATAATGTGACAAGACATACTCCATTTTTTTCTAATGTAATTCCATTAAGACAGACATTTTACTGAGATTGCATCATTGTACACAAGAGCCCTGTAATATTCAAAATAAATAGAGAAATCCAAAGGTTTTTCTATAAAATGTCCCTAATATCGTTATGACATCACGAAATCACATAGCCAATAAGGAAAGAAAGACTAGCAAACTCAAAACAACTTTAAGCACTACAAACACAGTTTTGCAATAAAAGTGCAATAAATTTAGAAAAAAAAAAAGGTCGTTTTCCGGTAACGATAGGCAATTAGCTTAATCTTTGTTAGAAAATCACTATCAAGCATCTTCTTGTGTTGCTCCATTGGGACAGCCTCGTCCAACTTTTAACGTCATTCAATGACTCTGCATCAATATCACAACTTTGAATCGTTTAAAGAAGAAGTTACCCAAAAATATGATTTAATTTAAGAAACCTTTTTTCCCCAAATGCACTTAGTTCGGGATGGTCCCCACTCTAAATAAAAGAGATGTGGTCCGGAGATAGAGATGAGATAACAAGTTCATCGTTAACCTTCCCGGGGGCTATTGACCAAGATAGCGAAACCATTCTGGAATCATCGTCGCTCAAATCAAGAATCCCGAGCATCTTATGGAGCTTCGGGCAGTCTAAAAACGTGCTTGTCAAATGCTTCTGCCACAAAAAAATAGTTATCAATCAGAACAAAGTCGATTATTCGTCGTACTTCAACTTAAAAGCAGCAGCTGCTAGCAAATAATAATAATATGAGGGTTCTTCTATCCATTCAATAATGATGAAATGTTATCTCATCGGTTTTTTAGAGCAACTTGAGATGCTCGAAAATGTGAAGAAGGATCGGTAAAGAGCTGGCAACTTCCATTTTTTTCGATGAATGAATATAAGAAGGAACTCTCAAATATCATACAGAACAAGACGACAAGCAAGATCAATCATGAGAAAATAATCCGTGATTGAATTGCGAAGATTAAATTGAATTTATCGACTTGATACTTTATACATGAGAATAGACCGATGATAACGAAAGGGGAGATGAGCACTTGTTTGGTGGGGGATTAAAATCAGATTTTCAGTAGATTTTGATAGAATGTGCGGTTGAAAAGTTGTGGGACTCATATGCGGTTGAAATGAATTATTGACTTTGGCTTAGATTAAAATCTAGATTTTAATCGGTATCACTAAATTTTATTCAATCAAGATTACCAAGGAACAACATGTAACAATATTCATTCACTAATTTGAACTAATACCTTTTTTTTCTCAGCCAACTGCCATGTAATCTTCTAACAGAACCATAGTACCAATTCCGAGAAAGAATCGAAAAGGAAATCATTTGGAAACGAAAAACAACCTATAAATCAGGATACGAAGTAAGGGAAAGGGAATCTTACGTGGAGGACGTATCAAAAAAAACTTCATTGAGCACATCGTCCTCACCATTTTCCAAGGCAAAGAGCTCAGTATCTTTCTCTTCGTCCTTGGAAGAACCCCGTGTTTCCATCTTCGAATGAGCAGCAATGAACATTAACTTCTGAGCCCTATCGATTCCCACCCGTGAATGCCTATGAGAACTCGTGAATTTCGGTATAGACCAGTTGCATTTGAATCCACATGAAGTTGCATGAAGGAAAATCAGTCTAACGGCGACCTTTCCTAATGACTTGAACTCAGTTAGGTATGTTTCCCATACGAGCCTACTGCTTTGGGGATTGGCAATCTTCATCTTCCCCGTATTCGGATCCCTTTGTTTCAATTGTACTGCTTGAGCATAAACCGGATCGAGCCCTTCAGTTCTCCATTTCATTAGCTCCATAAGAGCAATGTGAGCCTCATCCCTAGATACGAGTCGAGTTATTAGCTTATCCACATCCTTCTCTTGTTCGGGTGTCAAGAATTTGAAAGGGGGTAAGTACCTTCCACTCGTGTCCCGAATCAAATAAAGTGGATCGAGTATAAAAGCAGCAGCCCAAGCAGGATGATAATTCCTTCTAAACCTCCGGTCGATCACCTTCTCCACATGTCCTCCAATAATGTGAAATTTCGAACACCATTCCTTCACTTTCAACCTAAACTCCTCCCAAAGGGTCAAGCATTGCCCTACCCTCGGTTTCTCCATCAAGATTTCCTGTGCCATTGTCTTGACCAATTTAACTAGAGAATGAACCGCTTCTAACTCATTCCAAAAATGCGGATTCCTCATCATTTCTTCGATATCTCTAGCAATCGGCTCCTCCACTAGCACCATCTTGTACGATTCATCTAACAATACTAACTGAAGGGCCCGAGCTGATCCCAATACATCCTCTACCATAGCGTAAACTGGCCTAAAATCCGACCTTCCATAACTACTCAAAGGTAATCTCAGCAAACTGGCATGTCCATATTCCTGCAACTGATACTTACAAAAACTTTGTCGAATCTGAGACTTCTTGTTAATGAAATTAGCTAGCTTTAAACAATTTTCAGTCACGTTCTTGAATGAAGGAAGCTCCTTGGAGAAATCCTTAATCAAACTATTAAAACCTTGATATTGACAAGAAAGATTAACCATCCAATGGTGCTGATTTTCTAAATTCCTTAATGCCTTAGCTTTAAACTTGTCTGAAACTATACCTACACATTGATGCACTGAATTCCCACAGATTTCAGCGATAGTTTCCCATAGAACTTCTTCTGCATATTTAGACTGCACATAACCACTAGTGAAAACTGCCCTCCTATAAACACTAGTCCCATTGGGAAGATTCACAGCAACATTCACAAAACTTTCTTCCCCATCTCGACAATAATCCTTTGACTTCCAACCATCGGACACGATCTGAAAGAACATTGCGTCGTGAATTTTAGTCTCGGACTCGGCCTTTGCCACCTCGTACTTGGCATCTAACCTAGAACCCATAAAGTCTTTTCTTGATATTGCAGGCAATCCAACCTGATTAAGAAATGCCTTGAATTTGGGATGTTCAAGAGTTGAAAATGAAACAGGACCACAACATTCATAAATCCAATCTGCAAGAAAATCATGAGCAGACTCGACCTGGGATTTTGTTAATGTCGGAACGGGTGATGATTTGGGACTTTTCAGCCTCTTCACACTGTCTTCCAACATTGCTAAAGCTCCCAAATCCTCTTTCCCACCAGACAAGACCAATTGCTGCCGCTGTTGGCCGTAAATACCACCGCCGTTGGCGGCGGCGGTGGAGGGACTTGCACCACCAGCAACAGGAACAGCACTAGTACTAGCCATTGAAATCACGGGTGGGTAGGCTAACTCCACTGTAAATCTTGATGGTTCAATCATGGTCAGTGGTGGAACATGTTGTACAGAAAATGTCGTACCTCCACCACCTTTGACGCCAACGCTGCGATTACCACCGGAGCTTGAACTACGCTTCCGGTGGTTGTGGGGTTGCGACGTATCAGTACCCTCTGCTAGACTCACAACTGGAACAGAAGCAGAAGGTACTGTAGAAATTGGCATATGAACAGAAGGAAAGTTGGGGCATGTCCCTTTCTTAAGATGCTCCGAAGCGGTTCTCGACGGATTAGAGGCGGAGAAAGCGGCAGCGCACAAGGAACACCGCAGCTTCACCACCTTGGGAAAACCAGTATCAGAATTATGCACGAGAATTGGCTCCAAGTGCGCCCAGTACCACGCGCCTTTCCCCTTAATAGCCTTATTCCGTACCATCATCAACCCTTCATATCTCTTGTCCACAGCCTTGGCGGCCAACTCATCGGAGGATAATGACACGGCAACCGGAGCAGATTCCACCGCTGCTGTGGTAGCGGCGTTTGTTGCAGCCATTATACTTCAAAAACTTGTAATTAAACACTCTTCAAATTCAACGTACTGTTACTCAAGTAGTTCTAAGTAGGAAATGATGTTCTTGGTGCACTTAGCCAGGGCGCGGTGGAGGAAGCCGGCGGTCCATGGTGGGCTCCGGCGAGTTTCTTTCAAAGATTTTGAGGGTGTTTCCAAAAGGAAGTTTCACAGTAGAACAGAAATTTGGAATCTGCGTATCAAATAAAGAAAGAAACGGAGTTATTGTAGAAACAGAAACAACTTGTACAGAGAGAGAGACCGGAGAAGGAGAGGTGGTTTGGTTAGTACTATAATACAACACACACTGTACACACTGACACCGTTTTGTGTTGAATGAATAGAACATTCTAATTAAACAAAAAAAAAATGAAAAATGAAATAATTTCAGAATATTTTAATTAATTTTTTTTTATGAAATATTCAAAAAATATATAAAAACATTTGAAGTAAGAATAATATTTTAAAATTTCTTCAAACCCTCATTTTCCTAAATATGGAATTAAGGTATATTTGTATGTCACGTCGGATTAGTGATGGCAATCGAGCTGAGCGGCTCGTCGGCTCGGTCGCTCGGCTCGTACTGTAGTGATCCACCAGCCGCTCGGGCTCGTCGTCGGATTAGTGATGGCAATCGAGCTGAGCGGCTCGTCGGCTCGGTCGCTCGGCTCGTACTGTAGTGATCCACCAGCCGCTCGGGTTCGTCAAAAGACGAGCCCGAGCTCGAGCCGAGCGGACCCGTTCATAGACAAGCCGAGCTCGGCTCGGCTCGGCTCGTTAAGAGACGAGCGCTCGTGGGGCACGAGCCCACGAGCCGAGCTCGCCCACGA